GACATTTTACCAAAGCGCGATGCAAGCATGGACGACCCATTGAACAACGACATAAACAGCCGTCCACAAAAAAAAGTACCCAATTCGAAACCCCGGAAATCGCTGGAATAATGATAAAAACAAAATAAGAAATCATAGTAAGGAGCTAAAAATAAGAATTATGTAGAAATTAATTGGCAATATGGACTTACCAAGCAGTTCAATGCAGTGTCACCAATCAGAAAAACGGCATTGATCGAATGCATGTTTATAATCAACTGCAAGATTATACTGTTACTGTTCAAGAATTCGCAATTGGAAATGCGAGTTGATAGAATTTGTAATGGATACTTACAAAATTTAGACTGTAATCTTTAATGGCAAGATATGGTACGATTATGAACCAAAATACTGCATCCGTCAGTATCACAGCTCCTGCATTCATCTGTCGAGAAAAAGGCCGGTAAAAATGTAAAAACTCATCCTGAATAAGGATGCAACCGTCTCTAACAGAAATTATTTACTAGGATTTACCTGAAAAATGATTTGGAAGACATAACCCCAAAAGCCAGCGATTCGGCGAACAGGATGTTCTTGATTGAGGTCCATGCCTTTTGTAGTACTCGATGCATTAGAATTTCGCGCACTTGCAGAGTATCTACGAGAGCCATGCTCGGCATCAAAATGCTCGTTATCAAATTCATCTCCTCCCATTTTATGATACCGGCGACATCCATTTATAGACAGCAAGGATCCAAGCTACAATAGATCACACTGTCATAAGAAAAAGAAGACTTGAAATACCTGTTTTATCCACAAATGAAATATTAAGTGATTTCTTACCCCGAAATAAATGATAATCAATGTAAAAGTCCACCTGTTGAGTATTCAGCACGACAAATTAATCACGGAAATTACATAGAGTCATTCAATCTGAATTCTATGTGAAGAACATAAGCTAGGTACTCTCCATTGTGTGAAATTGGTTTAGAAATGGTACTACTTACTGAGTATAGTAGTAAAACACCTCTCCTCCATCAACGGCAACGTTTAGGATTAGCATTAACAGAAGCACGGTGAAAGCACAGACTCTAAAAGCAAGTAGCCAAGCGGGATGTATACTTCGAAGACACGGCTTCCAAACTTCGTCTTCATACAAGACTCCAGCTGAGTCTTGTTCGTTTTCTGTAGTTCCTTCTTTCACATTGCGTGGACCTTCGAATTTGGAGATAAGAATCGATGCAAATACCATCGACATTAGAATCAAAATGGAACAGAGCAAAACCCGCCAGTTAAGCCAGTAAGATGATGTTGTAGTGTCGACAGTCATGGCCGGTTGCCAAGAATTTGTCGTAGAACCTGTTATAAATGTAAACACACTCATGACATGAATTTCTACTTTCTCCAACTATTTTGTCTAATCTCAGCAGCAATATAAGAATCCCTCAACTGTAAAATACGAGTCGAGGCCTTTTAAAATTTAGGCAAAAATTCTGGGAAGAAACAACGAATCTGAACGAAGACTCAACAAGATACGAAAGAATTGAATAGATTTTAAGAATAAGTGAATAGAACTGTGTTCAGCAACTATTCTGATGCTATATCAATCACAAAGATTCGAAATGATTTGACGAAACAAGTCTACATGTAAAGAAAACTGCAATTTCTAATATCAATTCCCAAAACCAGAATCAGAGGTTTTTAACAACATTTAGGATAAAACTCAAAAGCAAAAAAGAAAGAATGAAGATGTTCAAAGAAAACTTATATGGAATTAAATTGCATTAACATCTGAAGGTAATCAGAGATTCCAAACTTTTCAGGATATAATTTGAATTCTGAAATAAAAGATGGCAAAAAAAGAACACCTGGTTCTGAATTGTAAGCAAAGAAAAGTGGGAATTCTTGCAAAGGAAGGTAACACAATGTGGTGGCGGTGTGTAAGAAGAGATTCTTTGCTTCATTGCTTTGCAGTTAAAAACTAAATCAAAAGTAGAGAGTGAGAGAGACAGGTGGAGCCAGAATTTTCACTTAGGAGCGGTAAATGTTGAGGAAGCAAAATATAAGTGTATAATATATATATTTAAAAAAAATCAAAATTTCTACATAAATTTATTTATTTATTTTATATTATCCCAATAAAATTAAGATCCTGTAATAGAGATTGGACTAAAAGCTAATATTCTTATTCAAAACATGAGAATTTCCAAAAACAATGCGATAATTGTAGGATTTGTCACCTTTTCTTGTACAGAGACAGCCTTGCGCTTTGAGTCTTTTCTAGTTTATTATGATATTCTATAGAAAAGGGTGGGGTGGGGTGGGGTGGGGTGGGGTGTTGTTCTAAATGGATTTTGTGTTGATTGATTGAAATTTTTATCTTTTTTGAATAAAATAAATTAATGCATGATGTCAGCAACTCCCAATAAAGAAATAAAGATGTAAAAAGTGAATAGGATGATGAAAACTCAAGCATGATTCACCATATATTGAAATTGGAGCTTTATTTAGAGTTGGTTCGAGCAGATGATTTTCACCTTTTTATCAAATAATATCTCCTTTTCATGTCGTTAGTTAACTTTAAATGGTTGAATATGAGATCTGAACTAACGAAATTTAAGCTAAAGAATTGTGACGCCACATATTGGAGTTGGAGTCGTATTTAGTGGTGGTGTGACCCGTTTCTTCCCTCCCTTTGGATGATAATATCTCCTACTTTGCGACACAAGTTTTAAAAGTCGAAACTTATTTTAATTTTTTTTTTGACTTGTCGACATAAGAATAAGATAAGTCTAAATAATTTTAATCGATTGAACTTTGAATTTAGCATTTCAGAACACATATAGAAATTAATGTCATATTCAATGTCATAGTTAACTTCAACCAGTTAAACACGAAATTTTAACTTATAAATTAACAAAATTTGAACTCAGAATCTCTTTTATTATTTTCGAGGAGTAATTGACTTGACCTTAGCGAAAAGGAAAAAAAATAAAAAATAAAAACTAGAAATGAGTAATTGACTTGACCTTAATGCCATTCTTGCGTTGCAAGAGAAGGAGAGTGGGCCAAGTCACCCGGGTCCCACAGAAAAAAATGGACCGACATTTTGTGGAAAAATAACATGTCATCAATTGGAAAAATATTGTAATTTTTTTTTTTTTTTTTTTTTATAACCGTGAATGTTTGGGCAAACTGCACGCACCTCAACTAATCCCACGGGAACCTGAAATTTACGGTCGGGTACTCATCTCAGTGATCCTGAGAGAATTCGAACTGGTGATCATTGGGAAGCAAACCCAAATCCTGACCAATTGAACAATCCCTCAGGGTTGACAGATATTGTAAATTCAACGATCCAACAACAACAAATTATGAGATCTGATCATGAGTTTCATGACACCGACAATGTATCTCGTTATCATGACTTCAGGAAGAAGGTATTCCATTTTATTTGTCAATTGTGCAATGGAATTCTCACACAAAAAGGGTGGACCAAAGTAGAGTCCAGCATTTGTCAAGGCGTGACCCCAAAGCAACGGCTTTAGACATTTTGCTTAATTATACGCAACAAATCCCTTGTTCATATTAACATTTACCATTTCATGTTCACGAATCTTCTAGTAGACTTAACCTACTTAACGATCGCATTTAAAAGCTTAGACGGTAAGATGTAAACATAAACAAATTCATTTATTTAAATTCTGCCAGCCAAATTCGTTATTTTCTTTTATTAAAGGCTACACCAGTGCACAATTTTTTGTAAATGGATGGTAGAGTCGAACTTCGTCATCTGAAAGTACAAGTTGTTGCATAGTTAACAATTGTCTGATCACGGAAGTGCTCCTGTCTAAGTAATTAGAATAAAATGATGTCCTAAATCATCATTTTGGCATGAGAAGGTGATCCTATTGGTGGCTAGATTGACCAAAAGATGTAAAGCAATTTACATGTTCGTAAATACGAGTCATAAAACTTGTAGAATATGCAATATGATGCCTTCAATCTTGGCATAGAATAAGGTTGATGTAGACGACACAGTCCCCTAAATTAAAGGAAAAGAAAATATTCTAAAGTAAAGAACAAAGAAGGCATGAACATGCTACCATACTGTAAAATTTCTAATGAAGTTAGGCCTAGAGAAATTACATCAAAGGCAAATGCACATGTTCTTGTCGTAATGAATTCAGAACATGGGATTCGCCATAAACAAACAATGATTATTCAAGCAATATCCAAAGATTCAACCAAAACCTTCGACCAACTTCGTATTAAGGAAGCAGTTAATTTGTGGATAAAGACATGCTAAGAATACTATATACAGTGAGAAAGAAGCATAAACAAACAAGAGAACGAACATATAAAGGACGGGCCAGAGAGCATACCAATTTCCGATAGAAATGACTTCATAACTCAGCCAGAATCCAACTTCACTTCTGAAAATTTAAGATGGAGAAAAACAAGCAAGGAGCTCTGTATGTTAATGCCACAAGCAAAAAGATACTTATAAGCATAACTAATTTCATTATGAAAGGTACCTTACTTAAGAATGGCAGAATTTATGGGGGCATGCACTTTTTCATATCAAACGGTTAGGCCAAATTAGAGAGATTTAAGAGAAATGCTAACATGTATCTCTAATCTAAAAACGGTTTGCGAGAACAAAAGGCACTTTCACATGCTTCCCTCCTTCCTTTATTTATTTAAAAGAAATGCTAAAATGTCTGGGGGAGGTCAATAATCGTGTACCTTACCCGATAAGAGATAATGCAGGTATCCATAATACATTTACATTTATAACTTCATAATACAAACAGGCAAAATTCTGTTTTTGAAATGTATTTATCAGTCTCTAGCATACATTCTCTAACGGGGATGATTAAATATTTTACACTCGCAAAGGCAAAATATACAGATTTTGATATGTCACAAGAACTACACTATTGCTATGATGTAACAATCTGATACCAAACAGTACATGTGAGGGAATCCATCTCCATTTGGCATATCCACAGTACTCCTCAAAAAGCATCAGTTCCATCTCCGAACATAGAGAGAGAAAAGGGGGCAATAGCCACATTGAAGGTCCGAGCGCCTACTTTATCAATATGCTTCATCTCAAACTCACCCTCCTATAAGACAATGAAAACAACGAAAAATGAAATCTATCTAAAAAAATATGTTTCTGCTATTATATACAGTAAAAGAAGGTTTCTCTCCGTAAATGAGATATAAGGAAGAGCAAATGGGCCAGTCCATGATGAATTTTGTTTATGTCCAGCAAATTTTATTTTGTCGACCTATCTTCATATGTGATGAATGCTTGTAGGGCTCAATGTTAGGAGGATTTATTGATCCAAGGGGACAGAAGTGATAAAAATTGAAAATGTTTATACCGTACATAACTGGAGCAACTACAAAAATTCAATGACAGTCATTAAGGTACTAGATGATTAAATTATGCTTAAACAGGCTAGCTTCATGCAGTCGGATTTTCATGGTGGGGAGGATGTCAAATGACAAAAAAAATTATCCACCCTTCTCACCATTCTGCCACTAGGTGTGCTCAATGGGCAGGCTGATGAATATTCAAACCCCGTATTGGGAAGTATAACTGGTTGTTCACCTATAACTCCAATTCCCCTGCTTACAAAGTAGGCAGATACGTTACCAGCAAAAATGATTAGTAAGCCCCTAAATGATTGCAACATTGGTGATGTTGATTATATGAAAGTCCAGAAGGGTATAAAAGATCAAGACACTATTGCTCCTCTTCCTCTTTGCATGAGAATGGCAGAACTAACAACTTACCAGACATGCTCAGTTTTCTCATTGGCATCAGTGATGATCCAGTGCCTTCCCAAAAGTTGTACTGGTCGATCTGAGTTGTTGCTGATTCTGATTCTATATGCAAAAAAATAATGACCTTTCAAAGGCTGACTTCGGCTTTCTATATAAACACTCCTTACTTGAACCCTAACATCCTGAAGAAGAAGGAAGAGTTAAAAACTGATACAGATATACAAGGAGTCATACATGCTTTAACTACTTGTTGACCCCCCACCCCCCTAAGGGCTCTTGTTTAAGTGTTAAATAAGAGAAGGCCCATCTTTACTCAATGAAGCACAAAACTTCAAGTATAGACGTATTAGAAAGGGCATAAACCAACTCAACTCTATCAAGTTGATTCAATTTTCCAGAATTTGGAGGAGCTTAAGCTTACTGGTAGAATCCTAGTCCAAAATGAAACCGAAATAGGATCAACTAGAAGGTTACTATCGAGATTAGGATGTGCCAATTTCTTTCACAATGAGAGCTGGGATCATCTTTGTTCAGCAAGTGAATCACTCAGACGATATAATAGAGACACTTCTAGGATTAAACCTTGTTTCCAAGAGATTTACCCACAAATTGGCCATTTCCAGTCTTAATTTTTCAAATGACGATGAATTTCTTATTTGCACCATGAGTCATGGCTAGTGGAGATGGTAGATGTAAAGGTGGATTCTGCCTATCCCCAGTTTGTTTCTGGGGACTGCTTTTCTGTTTCTGCAGAACAGAAGTTCCCTATTTAAGAAACCAAGGTTCTGATCAGTGAAAGATAAGAAAAATGAATATACGAAGCTTAAAACTGACAGGAGTAGAAAGAAAAATCCAACATGAATAATAGTGACTCAGCTCGTTAAAATAAGCTCCTAATATGAAGCCTTGTGATCCAGCATCAACAATCAGACAAATTTGTTATGTGACAACTGTTGGGGATGATTGTCCGAGATAATGAAAAATAACAAAACTTGGACAAAGATTTTACTCAAGAAATAATGCGGCTTTACTATAAAATAGGAATAGAGGATTATAACATGAGTTTCAAATAGGAGTTACAAAGTATCTCAAACTATATTTCTCTCAATAACAAACTCTGGCTTTCTCAAATCCTCATTTAGTGCTCAATTACTTTTGGCATTCACTCATTGAACACACATCCCAAGGTCTATTTATAGATTTTGTAACGCGGTTTATCATTCGACAAATACAACTTGAATTCCTCCTTTAGAAGTTGAAAAATCAAACATGAACTCGATCAAACAATAAACTTTCTTTCCTTGCTTGACTTGGTAGATTTAATTGTTTGAATTTTCTTCTTAGTAGCGAGGTAAAATTCAACTTTGTTTCCACCTCTATCATCTTCCAACCTTATCTCTAAAAAGTAAAATCAAAATTTGTCTCCACCTCTAACAATAGGCAAGGTGTATTTTGGAAACATCGAGATTTGCGACATAGTTGGCAAATGTGATGTTCAGGTAAATCAACCTAATGGAACAGTCCTAAGAATCAAGGATGTCAGACATGTGCCATGTTTGCAAAAGAATCTAATTTTAGTGGGTCAACTTACTGACTTCGGTATTGCAACCACGTTTGTTGATGACACTTGGAAGATGATCAAAGGAGCTATGGTGGCAGCTCGTGGCAAAAAGGAATGTACTCTCTATGTTACTTCTGGTACTCACAGTTCCATTGCCATCATATCATTAGAAGTCGAAGAGAGCACATGGCATCGTAGACTTGGACATATCAGCGAGAAAGGGATGAAGCATCTGATTTCAAATGGGAAACTACCAGGTTCGAAGTCTCTAGACTTGGATTTATGTGAAGATTGCATATTTGGAAAGCGGAAAAATTAGTTTCACAAAAGTTCAAAGAACACGTAAGTCAGAACAGCCGGAGTTGGTGCATACAGATGTATGGGGACCATCTTAGGTATCATTTCTTGGTGACTCTTGCTACTTTGTTACTTTTATTGATGATGCTACTAGGAAGCTATGGGTTTACTTCATGAAAAATAAATCCAATTTATTTGATGTCGTCAAAAAGTGGAGAGTCCTAGTTGAGAATGAGATAGGTTTAAAGTTGAAATGTCTCAAGTCAGACAATGGAGGAGAGTACGTAAATGGTCGAATGAAGAAATGTTGGGTAGAAAATGGAATTTAAAAAATACTGAGAATTCCAAGAAAACCGCGACAGAACGACATTGCAGAACGCATTAACAAAATAATCCTGGAATGTAATAGAAGTATTAAAATTAATTCTGGTTTACCAAAGCAGTTTTGGACATCCAGTAAGCACAACTGCTCACCTGATCAATAGAGGTCCTTCAGTTTCCTTGAATTGCATAATCCTAGAGGAGGCGTGCACAGGAAAAGAGGTGAACTTATTGCATTTAAGAATATTTGGTTTCATCTCTTATGTTCACATTAAGCCTGAGAATAGGAATAAGCTTGATCCTAAGTCTCGTAAATGCAACTTTATTGGTTATGGAATCGATACTTATGGTTATCGATTTTGGGATTATGAAAATCGAAAAATGATTAGGAGCATGAATGTGGTGTTCAATGAGTCTGTCATGTACAAGGATAGACTTGATGATAAGACTAAAGAACCTGAGACAGTGGAGCTCGAGGAAATCTCTAGTAGAGATTTGTCAAAACCTCAATATACGAATGTCCGGTTGACACCACTTACAGAGATGCCAACCCTAGATCCTAATAGGAGGTCTACAAGAACTATTAGGCTTGGAGTTCGCTATTCGCCTTCCTTGCACTATTTATTGTTGACTAACAATGATGAACCTGAGTATTATGAGGAAGCATTACAGATTGAGATGAGGGAAAAGTGGGAGCTGACAATAAATGATGAGATGGAATCTCTATTGACGAATTAGATGTGGAACTAGTTTTATTGTCCAAAGGAAAATCTGTTTCACAAAATATGTGGGTTTATCGCTTGAAAGAAGAACTCGATGGCACCAAATGATATAAGACCAGGTTGATTGTAAAAGGTTTCCAACAGAAGGCAGGTATCAATTACACCAAGATTTTCTCTCATGTTAAAATTTTTACTATCAAAACTGTGCTTAGCATTGTAGTTGTTGAGGATTTGCATTTGGAGCAGTTAGATGTTAAAACTACATTCCTTCACGGTGATTTGGAGAAGGATATTTATATGCATCAACCCCAGGGCTATGTGGTTACAGGAAATGAGAGTATAGTGTGTAAATATAAGAAGAGTTTGTATGGGCTAAAATAGGTGCCCAGGCGTGGTATAAGAAATTTTATAGCTTCATGACAAGTGCAGGCTTCTATAGGTGCCATGGTGATCATTGTTGTTATTACAAAAAGATTAACACTTCGTATTTAATACTTCTTTTGTACGTAGACGATATGCTTGCTGCAGGTTCAAGCATGGATGAAATTATTAAGCCCAATGAGCAGTTGTCTAAAGAATTTGCAATGAAGGATTTTGGGTGCGGCAAAACAAATTCTTAGAATACAAATTAGTAGAGATATGGAGAACAAGAGATTAAAACTATCACAGGCAAAATATGTTGGTAAAGTCTTCAAGAGATTCAACATGGAGAGTGCTAAGCCTGTTAGCGCCCTAATAGTAGGTCACTTCAGATTGACGAAAGAACAAGGAGCAATAACACACAAGGAGAAGAGCACATGGCTAAGGTCTCTTATGCCTAATCCATAGGCAACTTGATGTATGCTATTGTCTTTACAAGATCAAATATTACTCATGCAGTGGGGGTTGTTAGTAGATTCAAGAATAATCCTGGCAAGGAGCATTGGGAAGCTGTCAAGTGGATATTGCGATATCTGAGAGGTATTCGGGACATGGCTTTGTGTTATGGTGGCTCAAAGATAGGTTTGCATAGGTATGTTGATTCTGCAGCACAACTGGATATGTGTTTACTCTTAGAAGTGCTGCAATTAGCTGGGTCTCTCAGTTACAAAAGATTATAACCATTTCTACTACAGAAACAGAATATGTAGCAATGGCAGAAGCTTGCAAGGAAATTGTATGGTTTCAAAATTTCTTGAGTGAAATAGGCAAGAATCTTGATGACTGCAAGTTGTATAATGAAGGTTAAAGTGTTATACATCTCGCAAAGAATTCTGAATTTCACTCAAGAACGAAACATATTGACATTACATACCATTTCGTTCGTTCGCTCTTAGAAGATGGTAAAATAAGTTTGGAGAAGTCCACACTACAGAAAATCTTGCAGATATGTTAAAAAAGGTAGTTACTACCGAGAAACTGAAGTCCTATTTAACTTCAGTTGGTCTTAGTACTTGAGGATGAAGGAGGAGTTCCACCGTGGCCTGATATTTGTCTCCAAGTGAGAGGTTGTTAGAGGTGCGACAAATTTTGATTTTACTTCTTAAAGATAAGGTTCGAAGATGATAGAGGTGAAAGCAAAGTTGAATTTTATCTCCTTAAATGATAAGTTGTAGTTATCAAATTTGATCTTTGCTACTAAGAAGAAAATTCAAACAATTGAATCTACCAAGTCAAGCAAGAAAAGAAAGCTTATTGGTTGATCAAGTTCATGTTTGATTTTTCAACTTCTAAAGGAGGAATTCAAGTTGTATTTGTCAAATGATAAACCGTGCTACAAAATCTATAAATAGACCTTAGGATATATTCATCATAGACGTGTTCAATGAGTGAGTGCCAAAAACAATTGAGCACTAAGTGAGGATTTGAGAAATGTAGAGTTTGTTACTGAGAGAAATAGAGAGTTTGAGATACTTTATAACTTCTATTTGAAACTCATCTTGTAATCCTTTATTCCTATTTTATATTAAAGCTGTATTATTTCTTGAGTAAAATCTTTGTCCGAGTTTTGCTATTTTTCATTATCCTGGGCAATCATCCCCAACAACAACCAAAATTATCTAAGACTCTTTCCATGTATTAGATACGTTTTAAAACACCTAGAATCTTGGGAGTTACATGCAAGTTTCCATGAAGCTATGCAAGTGATTATAATCAAATCTCATAACATCAAGCTGTAATTTATCCTATCAACTCAGCTAGTTAATCTAAAAGTCCACCTAGCCCAAGAATAAAATACAAATAATAAATGCAGCGCTATGGAATAACTGACCATATCATGCACGGTTAGAAAGAAAGACGGATTAGGTTCAAGGAAACATCTAAAAGTTGAATTTTCTAAAGGCTAGCCAACAACAAGCACTGGTCTATGGTTAAAAAGGAGGGGAAGTAAAATGGATTTTGCGAATTTCAAGCTCCACAAGTGTACATTGCAGAGTATATCTTTCATATATTTGATTTTTTCCAAAAAAAAAAAAGTTTACTTTAAAAAACTCCAACATAAGTGAAAGTTCCAGCTGAACGAGTTGTTGGACCGTTAAAAAAGACACGATAGCATCAAGCCATAGGGATGAGTCAAGAGAACCGTATTTAAGTTACAAAAAGCTCAATCAATTCAATATCTGATGTGTATCATACCAAAGTTGATGCATCACTAGAGCACTTCAAGAGAGAGTGTGGAGCAATTTCCTTCAGCTCATCAAGGTACCTAGCTGCATCCTGGGGGTACAGACAGAGAGAAGAAAAGACATCAATAAATAGAGGGTTTGACGATGGAAAGAAACCCATTTGAAAAATTGCTATCATATATTGGCTGATCCATATAAAGCCAAAAATTCAAATTTCATGTTTACCAACCAAACCTTATTCCAAGTAAATTTGAGTTTGGCCATATTTCACGTATTGAGCAAGCAAAAATCTCTATGCTATCAAGACATTTTGCACTACCATCATATGCTTCATTTAGAATCTAGATGCAATTTCAATATTTTATGTGTTGGAAATTGTTAATACTATAGCTTCCACAAGATTTCAAGCCGAGTCAACAGTTGAATCAAGATTCGAGACACTTCAAAAATTAATAGACAAATTTGTCTATAGGGACGAGGATACTTAATTTCACATGCTTACATCGAATTAAGAAAATCCTTTGTCAACTTAAAGGAAAGAGAAGCAGTAACATTTTTACAGCCTATAGTAAAAGGAAAATGAAAAGCAAGAATTAAGTAGCACTTGACCATGATCCAAATTTTTTTTTTCCCCACTCAAATTGAAATCTAAATGATATGAGTCACTTCATATATATTAAATTTTTATCCTCCAGTATAAGCAAACGTGAGTACGGATGACCCAACTCAAAATCACTCAATTTCTCAATGAAGCATTCTCTTCTATTTGATTGAGTAGGTTTGCACATAAAGAATAGTATGCAATTTGTTAATTTCTCATAACTTTCAAATGAAATGTGCCGGAAAAGCAGTAATTATATAATGGGAAAGGCCTACCTCAAACTTCTCCTCCGCAACGGCCTCTTTCAACAACCTCTTAAGACGCAATACTGGCTCCGCTTCCTCGAACATTTTCAAAGAATCACGAAGTCTAGCAGCTTCTTTATAATCCTAATTCCGCATGATTATTACGATTAATTAGCTCATAAACACAAATTACAAAGAAGATAAATCTGTACCTACCTCGGATTTTGCAGCGATTTCCAATTGTTGCTTCAACAAAGCATAGGTTTGGGTCCGAGAAAGAACCGAATTCTGATCCCGACCGGTACCCGAATCCGAAACCGGAGTCGAATTCTCCGATTTACTACAAGCAACAATCTTGAATAACCTTACATTCTGATTCTTACAATTCAACCATTGCCTTCTGGTACCTGCAGTATCCGAGCCAACGCCGAGTCGACTCTGCCATGACCGCGCGTTGAAATCAGTAACTACCTTCAGATTCAAAGAATGCATTTTTCTTGAAATAAAAATCTTAATTCTTACAATACTTTATGCAATTATCCGAATTCTAAAGAGGGTGAGGACGAGAATTACTTTTTTATTCCTGAGGAACGGGTGATGGTAGAGTGAGGGTAATATGGGGAATTCAGGGAGAGATTATATCTGTTAACGAAGGGAGAGTGACACGGTGTCAGTTATTTTATGATTTTTGTGAACGCTCAAGACTCCGCTTCGTAAATTTATGAAAAAAATGGTTTACAAAGACGAGCATTTAAGAGAATAGTATTGAGATTCACGAAATGCGCCGATAATAAAGATTAGTAGTTGTGAATGTGTATTTCCTATTAATATTTAATTCTGAGTGAATTTAAATATTATTCATAAATATGTATTAAAAAAAGGATGAACCGCATCCTTAGCGGCCCCCACCTACCCTGCCCTAGGTCTTGGTGAAGGAGGTAAATCGCAGGTTATGCCTCCAAGAGTACAGAGTGGAAGGCTGCTTGTACACTTACACTTACCCAAGGGCCAAATCCATATTTCAGGATTCGAACCCTTGACGCGGCAGCCTTAAGCAAAGCTGGAGCTTTTCCACCTTCCCCTTTTACCACTTGGAGATGTGCCCTGGGGGCACAATATGTATTAAAACAATGGCTTAATGAGGAGACGAAAACTTTTTAGGCAAATCAGACGAAGATTATCTGATTCCTATATTTCATTTAGAATAATGTTATTTATCACGACTAGAGATGTGTTACTAGTTTGGTGATAGAGAGTTTTCAATTCATTATCCAATGAAATTGTGATGCACTTTAATGCATCTGATAATAAATTGGGAATCCAGCATCATCTAATCAATGATGATAGAGTGTAACAATTCACATGCCAAATCAACTAGTCTCGAAAATGGATGGTGTTGAGCGCTCGACACATATGAGGCTGTCGAGGCAATCACCATGCTTTGATGAGTAGGAGGGTGCGATGGTCATTGCAAAACCTTAGACCTAAGTCCGGCTGGAGCAACCATTAGTGCATACTTGGTGATAGTAACAACTATTCAAAGGAAACTTCAACGACCGAAGAGCATATAGCATTACTATGTGTATATAGGGTTAATGTCACTAGCGATCACTAATTTTTTTTAAAAATTTTTAAAAATGGTAGTTGAATAAGACACTCAATTTTCTAATAGTTACATTATGGTCACTCAATTCAAAATCTTAACATGAAAGATGAAACCCAATATTTACAACTTGTTTGAGCCTCATTTTAACAAAAGAGTTTTGTAATAGTGATTTTTTTAGGAATGTTTGTTTAAAAAGTAAAGAAAAGTTTTAAGTTTATGTGTAAAATTATTATATTGAAAGAATGTGTAGATCTAAATAAATTTGAAAAAAAAAATTATATACTGGGATTCAAAACATAAACTTAGCCCTATTTGATAACTATTAGTTGAAAATTCTTTTTTCTACATAATCATTTTCAACAATACATTTAAACAATAAAATATTCTGCATATTCTTCTAAAAATCTTTATTCAAAACATATTTTTGATCAAATAATGACCATCAAACAAGGGCTTAATGTTAAACTCCAATATAAAAATAAACAACCGAAAATTCCAACATATAGTTTCTAAATTTTAATTTTTGTAGAAAAGAAGACTTCATCTCAAACATCATAAAATTTGATGAAAAGATTTAAATTTCGAGTTGTGCTGTATGTATAGAGGAATTTGTGTATACTGCTTGATAGGATGCCATTCTTTCTTTGGACAATATCCAAAAAATGCAGTACAATGCCGCCAACACTACATCTAGCACTTGTACAAGGTGATTCACCTTATAAAAGTAGTAAAATCCTTAAATTTTTGTGTAAAAATAGTTTATGTCACGAGTTTGATAGTCACATAATTAAACATTATATTCGTTTGGGTCCAAAAAATATCATGGCCCAGCACATCATTGTGAGCAAATGAAAAAATAATGTTAAAAATATGAGAATATTATTCACCTCAACGACGAATAGAATCGTAGGTTAACATAGGTGGAATCCCATAAATAACATAGGTGGATAAATCTCTTGTAGATGTTATAAGAAAGTGAACCATAAATACACACTAAATGGAAACATTTGTCATCTAGTAAGTTAGTACAAATCAAGTGATAAATTGGCATAAAAATTATATAAAATTTAGAGAGCGATGCTCTAATTTATTTAATTTTATATTCGGCAAGTCTCTTCTAGAATTTATGAGCGCACAAATATATGCGTATAAAACCCATGTAAGAAAAGTAAACAATTTTTTGCTTCTTCTGCAGCTGATACTCGAGGCATTTGAAATCCATTATCATCCACGATGAAATCTGGCATATCATTAGAATCGGACTGCACAGAGATGAAAACAGAAAAACACAACACAAAACCTTGCTCCATCTGCACTTGGCACTACATCAATGGAGCCATATGAAATGTTTCATCATCCATGTTGATTTCATCATCCAGGACGAATTCCAGGTCCTGATCAAAGCTATAACATGGCACCAAATGGTCTCCAGGGGAAAACTCAATCAACTCTAAACTTTTTCCAGCATCCTGAAATGAATTATTGATAAGAATTCCACGATGAGCACTTGGAGACTCTGCATTTCTTCTGTTGTCTGTTTTTTCCAGGTTTAGGCTCTGAATATAATCCTGCAGGAGAGTACTTGACTTTGGCCATTTGGTTCGGGCTTTTCGCTTTGAAAATTGCCTTCTTTTGGTAGCATTCCAGTGATTCTTGATGGAATTTTCCGTTCTTCTAGGGAGTTTTTTCGCGATTTCTGACCACTTATTTCCCACTTCTGCATGGGCCTCAATGAGAATTTTATCTTCTTCCTCACTCCATACGTCCTTCTGTGCAAGAAAAATGATGAAATAGTTTATAATTTCACCAGTATCCCCGTTTTAATATATCAAAAAAGAACTAAATGAGGTACTATATAAGAAGAAAAGGACAATTAATTTCATTTTCAAATTGGATTTTGCAGATATAAAAACATATCAAAAGCTGCATTAATTTAATATGTAGTAAACCAAATTTGTTTGTTGCCTATATACTCTCTTCTTTTAACTAAAAAAAAAAATAGAATGAAAATAAGAATTAAGAGAGAAAAAACATGATTTTGTGTATAGGGAGGAGAATTGAGCTGTACTTTAATGTCTGGCCTGAGATGGTTGTGCCATCTTTCTCTGCACTGCTTCCCAATTCTCCCCTTCAGCATTTGCGCGATATGTGACCATTTTCGCTGCCCAAATTTCTCCACCAGTTGAATCAAAACTCTGAAAATCATCCAAAGATTTGAACAAAACTCAATGCAAAAGATATGGGGAAAAAATTAATCAAGTAATTATTTTTACCTATCTTCTTCGACTGTCCATTGTGATTTGGCCCATTTAGACTTGTTAGTGCTTCTCCCAGCTAATGCAAATTGACTCTCATCTATGTTACTATTACATTTTTCCTTCTTTTCTGTGTCACTTTTTTTGTCGTGGCCATTTTCAACTGTCACACATGAAGACCTATTAGTTACAGAAAAGTTCACGGGCTTTGGAATTTTCAGGTCAATATTTTCGGAAGTTAATTCCATTTCCGATAATGGATTTTTTGTATTCGTAAAATTTAAGAATCCAGTTGCACCCTGGAAATTCTGCATGACAGCACCATCATCATCAGTCCCCTCGAATGCCTTAAACTTATCAAAGTCGAAATCTTTTGACCAAGAGGCATGGAGAAAAGGATCAAAAGGATCGTAGCCATCAAGATCGAACGATGAGAAGTTACGATCAAGGTGATGGAAATCTTGGAGGTACCCTCTTAATGAAAAGCTTTCCATGCAAAATTCATCACCTTCTGATCTAATTTCATGTTCAATCGAGTAGTTGTACGACAAACCAATTGGCGTAGGAGGGGCATTCTGGTCATTTTCACACCTTGTTTGAGACTCCATGGATGGAGAAGGAACTTGGGGGTTAAGGAATTAAGGAAGAAAATGTAAATCTTTGTCTGAGTTAATGGCAATGCAATTAAGTTCATATTTATGAAGGAAGTAAAGGGCATTCAATGGGGTGAAAAGTCATCTGGACCGTCGATTTGTTCTTCAGTTGAACGGTTGAGATTGCAGTCAAATTTAATCAAGAAATTGTATAAATTACTTACCATAGTTAAGCAGTTTATGATAGCACTTACCATGCCAATCTCATTTTCTTGGAATTATGCAATCAAACTGCAGATAGTAGTGAATCTGATACAATTGTCATATGTTCACTAATGGTTTATATTTTAAATTTTTACTAGTGCATTAATAAATATTTATTTTTAATTCCCGACAATTGCTCGGAAAATTATACCTGCAATACACATTCTACACTTAAACGAGCACTTGAACTTGTGTTCAACTATTTTTGACGTATGAGTGCCCAATTAAAAAAATTTTTTTTTATGGCATTTGAGTCGTGGTAAGTGATATCATCAAGTTTCCACATTAATTGCACGTATCTCGCTTGTGACACATTTTTCGTCGAGTTAGGAGTCAAATGTTATGCATATTGCAAGGGGATTAAAATGTTTAAAAAGATTAAATAAGAACTTAAGCTCTTATTCACATAAATAAAATGAAGACCTTAAATTTAAAATGAGTAATGTGAGAACTCTTGCATATTTCACTTGCCATATTTGACTAAAATAACAATTGCATATTAGATTTTCAAATCATTCTAATATTACAAAAATCGCATTTTGATACTAGACATGTATTCTTCTAATCTCTAATTTTTTTTCTGTCGAAATTGAGTCATGGTACCGAATTCCATCAAGTTTACATGTTAACTACATGTGTCTCATATGAGTCACATTTTCGTTGAATCACGAGTTAAATTTATCAATATTAAAAGAAATGGATTATAATGTTTAAAAAGTTTAAGTAAGACATTCACATATATAAAACGAAGATATTGATTTTAAAATGAGTGCAGGTAATCGTATATTTTCACTTACCATATTTGATTACGAATACATTTGATTTTAAAACAAAATTCAAATTTTGATACTAGATGCATATTCTCATAATCTCAAATTTTATTCTAAAATTGCACACTTGCATGTCCCAAAGTGCTAATAAAGTGAAATTTATACAATTGTCATATTCTAGATAATGGAGCATTGAATTATTATTATTATTATTATTATTATTATTATTATTATTATTATTATTATTATTATTATTACTATTACTTTATTTTTTTTTTTTTTTTTTTTTTTTTTTTNTATTATTATTATTATTATTATTATTATTATTATTTTGGTTTTCACTAGTACTTTAATATTTTTTTGCTTTTTACAATTTTTGTAATATTACAAAACTCATACTTTGATACTAGCAAGAATGGAAGGGTTCTCGCATGGTTCTCGATTCTCGGGCACTGTCGTACATTTTCACTTTCTATATTGGGCACCAGTAGGACAGTTCTTGTACTCTAACCTGCTGAGGCACATCCCGCAATTTACCTCCTCCACGATACTCTAGGGGCGGGGCGGGGTTCAACCTTTTTTTATATAATTGGATTTTGTAACTGTAATACAAAACATCTTTTTATCCATCTTCATTAATTAAAAATTTACAAAGTTTTATTTAAAGTGAATATTAATGCCAAAATTAGGTTAATTACACTAATGGTGGGTGAAGTTTTGAGCATTTACGCCAATTATCACTGAAGTTATTTTCTTATAATATAGTGACTCAAGTTTCTAATACTTACACCTCTCATAAAAAATAATTGGGGCTCAAACGAGCTCTAAAGTATGCTTTCTTTTCATAATTGTGCTCGCAGGTACAGATTAATGACGTAACAAGCTACAGATATGTGACATTAGTCTATGCACATCTTTTTTTACTTTTTTGAAAAAAACATTTCACTCCACTTCAAAATAGCAAGTTTCGGATACAAGAATGAGTTTTCTCCAACACTATTATCTCCTCGGAGAGTTTGAGTGCTTCTTTTGCTAATGTATGAGCGACCACTTTAACCTTTCTAAGTACATGATTTACAGACCAGAATTGAAAAAAATCAAGCATTCTCTTCGTGTCCTAGATCAGTAATCCTGGGTAGTTCCAAAATTCCGAGTCTCCATTTAGGCCCTTCACGACATTCAACGCATCTCCATCCAAAACATTTTGTACTTATTCTGAGGGGGTGCAGACCATAGCTAGGAAAGATGAACTTCTCTGCTTCTGAGCCTATTCGACTGGGAATTCACCTCTTTGTAATCCAATTCAATCTGTTGAGCCACAATAGATAATGCTGCTGGGCCATCGAATTTATTATCAAACACAAAGGAGTTTCGCCTCTTCCAGATCAGATAAATTGTGGTAATGAAGACCTCCATTTCTTCCTCAAACAGCACATTAAACAGATGGCTCACCAATTCTTTGAAGTGGAGTGGCATAAATGACATTTTCTGCAGTTTCCGTAAGCTTGAGCCCCAAACATCTTGGGCAGAAGGACATGACCACAACGCATGCTCCACGGACTCCACTTCCAATTTACAAATAAGACATAATGGAGACTCCCTAATTTTCCTTTTGTTCAAGTTCAAATTAGTAGGTAATGAATCATGAGTCGCACTCCACAATAGCATTTTACTAGCGTTTGGGGCCTTAATACTCCATATTTTGCTCCACACTTTATCCCGAAAAATACCGGTTGAACATTGGTCCGATGACTCTTGCTTCAACTGACAGAGAAGATGATAAGTGCTTTTAACTATAAATTTGCCCTCCTTCGTGCCCCTCCAAATGAGCTTGTCCGGGCTACCACAAAAACTGATTGGGATCTTGCTGATGAGAGTAGCTTCCAACTCAGAAAAGATATCAAATACTAAGTCCCATGATCCATGTTTTGGTGTCGGCATTAATAAGCTCGCCACTTTTCCATTCTTATGATGGTCATGTAGTGGAGATTGAACTTGAAAGGTGGATGCTTAGGAGAGCCATTTATCCTTGCCAATAACCACTGATTCCCCGTTTCCAATGCGCCATAATAGTCCATCTCTCAACACTTCTTTGGCTTCTGAAAAACTCCTCCAAAGGTAAGAACTGTTGCTACCAATTTTGCTGTTCAAGAAATCTATTTTACTATAATATTTCGCTTTAACCACCTTCGAAGCCCATGAGACTGGGTTTTGAATAAGTCGCCATCCCTGCTTCGCAAGTAATGCCACGTTGAAAATCTCAAAATCTCTGTAGCTAAGCCCTCCGACAGTTTTTGACTTCCCCAACAAGTTCCATGAGAGCCATTGCGTCTTTGCTTTATCTCCTCTACTACCCCACCAAAAGTTTTTAACTTGCCGATAATTGCTTGGAGAATGGTTCTAGGAAGCTTAAAAACGTTCATACAGTACATTGGTACAACTTGGATTATGGCCATGAGAATAACTTCTTTACCGACTTGAGAGATAAATTTCACTTTCCAGTTGTTCATTATACTTCTAATCAAGTCAAGAATCGGTTTGAACGTTTCCATTTTATTCCAACCAACATAAGCCGGCAAGCCTAAATATTTATCAAAATATTTCGCTTCTCTTACATTGCCTGCATGGAGTACTACATTCTTGACCTCTAATCTTGTGTTGTTGCTAAAATAAATAGAGGTCTTGTCCATATTTAGCCGCTGCTTCAAATGAGCCTAAAAGGTTAGAGAGCCGCCACCATTCCAGAACACTTGCCTTGCAGAAAATCAAACTATCATATATGCAAAGAATAAATGGTTAACTAACATATTACCTCTTGCAAAAGGAAAACCAGAAATGAGCCCTTTCGCCTCCGCTTTATCCAGTAAGGTTCCGAGAACTTTTGAGCACAGAATGAAAAGGTAAAGGGATAGCGGATCCCCTTGCCTTAATCCTCTTGTAGGTTGGAACTTACTTTGCGACTTTCCATTGATAATCAAGGAATATTTCACTGTTTGGACACAATGCACAGTAAGCTCTACCCACTTGTTGCCAAAGCCAAGCTTTCGCAAAACAGCTTCTAAAAAACTCCACTCTATCTGGTCATATGCCTTGCTCATGTCCAGCTTTAGTGCCATATAGCCTTCTTTCTTTCCGCTGACTCAATACTTCATAGACTACATTGCTTTATTGGCCACAATAGTATTATCAAATATTAAACGTCCTGGAACAAAAGCACTTCGAGCTGGTGAAATTATGAAAGACAAGATGGATTTAAGTTTGTTCGTCAGTACTTTCGACACAACTTTTTGTAAAGGACGTTGCAAAGACTAATGGGTCGAAAGTCTGAGACAGATTCTGGACTCTTCTTCTTAGGAATTAAAACAAGAAAAGTATCATTAATCCCATTATAGCCATGATGCAATAAAAAAAGATCTTTAACTGCTGCACAAACGCCGTCTCCAATAGATTCCCAATTGTCTTAATAAAAGGCTGCTGAGAAGTCGTCGGGACCAGAAGAGTTCAATTGATCCATTGCAAAGATTGCTTGTCTCACTTCCTCATCAGTGCATGCTTTCTGTAATTGATCGTTCATGTTAGGAGTTGCTTTGGCCTCAAGATCTTGAACAACTTCTTCAATTCCACACGGGATGGAGGTCGAGAACAAGTGTTTATAGAAGAGTTGGAACATGTTGCTTATCTCATCCTGTTTGGTGGATACATTGCCCCTTTCATTCACATTTCTCTTGATAGTATTTTGTTTCTTTCGTTGAGAAGCACATTTATGGAAATATGATGTGTTCTTATCCCCACTCTTGAGCCACAATTGTTTAAAGCATTGCCTCCATTTGGTCTCCTCATCTGCTAGCAACGTATCCACTTACTTTTGAGTCTCATTAATTATTTCATTCAAATCCCCTTAGTTAATGCTTTGCAACAACCGAAGCTTTCCCATATTAGCTTTTATCGCTTTCCTAGAATTTCTTGCATTAGACTTGACCCAAGACTGGAGTTTCTCCCTGCAATGCGCTAGGCCCTCTTTGAAATCACGTAGCGAACTACTCTGTTCCCCAGGGAATAACCAAGCACTTTTGATCATATCTTTGCACTCCTGCTTTTGAGACCAAGCAACTTCAAATTGGAACAACTTAGGACAGTGGGAATTCATTACGGTATAACTATTAGTGCAAGTTATTAGTAGTGGATTATGATCCGAATTGACGACCGGAAGCACATGCACCTCACAATTGCAAAAAAGAGAGGGGAAAAAAGGATCAGCAAAAGCTCTGCCCGGCCTCTCTTTTGTAAACTATCTCCCCTCCCTCTTGTTGCTCCTCGTGTATTTGGATCCAACATAACCCATGTCGCTAAGCTCGCAATCTTCCAGCACCTTACAAAAACTGTCCATTTGAGAAAAAAAAGTCTCGTGGCCTTTCCAAACTTCTCGATGAGATTGAGGATTTCATTAAAGTCTCCCATAATCAAACATGGAGACGGGCTATTGGGATTCTGCCTTCTCATGATCTACCAGCTGTCCTTCCTTCTTTAAGTGACTTGGTTGCCATAAAAACCAAATAAAACCCACGATAAATTTGCATTATCATTCTTGATATTCAATGAAATATGACTTCTAGCAAAATTGATTAACGTTGTGCTAACAACTTCCATCCAAAGTATCGACAAACCTCCACTTCAACCCACACAATCCACAACAAAACAATTATCAAACTTATCCATCTTGTCTCTTTAAAGTTTTGTCTCATAAAGGAAGACAACACTTGGGGACTTTTCCTTCACCATCTGGTAAAGCTCCCGAACTGTCCGAGTGTTCCTAAACCCTCGGCAGTTCCAACATAAGAGCCTTATGGTGAACGACATGGCTGCCCAGCAGCCTCTACCATATCCAGATCAATTCCTTCGTCAATCAATTATCGAAGTCGTTTTAGGGGAATTAGTTCATAAGCCCCATTATCCTTACATTTCTGAGCTTTATTTTCCACCTTATGTCCGTCAGATTCAGCAATTTGGGTACTTGGCAAAGGTGGGCCTTCTCGAGATCTCTTCTTTTAGGTCTTTCCTTGGGCCAAGCCCTTTTTACACATCAAATTATTCGAGCTCGTGCGGTTCTCTAGTTAGGCCTCTTCTTGACTAAAGTCTAGTGGAAGTAAAAGAGAATCCACACGTGGGCTGGATTCTTGTAGGACTCCAACATTTTCCTTAATTATGGCCTGGACGTTCAAAGCTTCCTTCTTAGCATCCGCTGGGCTCTTCATGTAATCATGTTTTGTTACACTAGCCTGAAATCTAGAAATATCTTCCGTGAAATTAGGGGATAATTCTATAGTTGATCCCAGATTTTTTTGCAGCCAGAATATGCTTTCTATTATGCTCTACGCCACTCTGAACACGACCGAAATACTCTCGACGATTAGACTCCGATTGCTCATCCAGAACTAGAGCACCTTCCGCATGTGAAAAAGCCATGTCTGGTTTCTTTCCACTTGCACGTAACCATACACCATAGTGTTGTTCCAATCCGTCCCCATTGGCAGAACCTTATTCTTTCTTTTCACACCATCCGGCTGGTGTTTTAGTTGTCTACAATGATAACAGAAATTCGAAAGCATTTCATATTTAAATGGAATCCAGTATTTGGTCCCACCTATGTTGAGAAATCGTCCCCTAGAAAGAGGCTTGGATATATCGATTAACACTTTAATTCGTAGAAACTTTCTCAAACAAATTCCACTATTGTCCGTGTCTACACAAAGGACCTTCCCCAAACGCGAACCAATGTCAGTACCCACTTTCTGGTTCATCCCAGCAAATGGTAGATCATGGCATTGAACACAAAAGCTTCTTCTTGAAACAGAATGTCTTTGATAGAAATGACACCCTCACAATCCTGCAAACAAAGCAGTTGTTTTATCAAATGACTATGGTCTGCCCTTCATGATTCTCTTCTTATCATCAATCCTTTTCAATTCAATCAAGAATTTGTTACATCCCACATCCTTAATGATAGCTTTCCCTTCCACTTGCCAGACCTTCAGCATTGTGTTCTTCAAAGCTCCTTTATTAACCTCTGAAAGCTATACATTGCTTGCTTTTCTCTACGGATAAAAGAATTTCTTCTTCCCCAACCTCTACCTTTTGCTTCTCGTCCTCAGTTAGCCTCAAGTTGTCATACAGTTCGAGCAAACCCCTCTCCATCCCTGCCACCTCTACAGACTAGAAATCCAAGAGGAGAAAACTAGGCCTTCGAGGAAAACCTAGAGACAACCTTACCTTCGCTCACGAAAGAATGATCTTGTCTATGCACATCTAGGCTTTACCTCGTACATGTAAATACACAGCCTAAGGTAATGCCCAAAAGCAACGCAATCTAACATGGTGTTGAACATCGATCTAGATACCACAGTGTATCATTAGTCCTATTCAATGGGTCATTATCTTTATATTTAATTGAACATGTAATTTAATGTCATTAATGTTGCCACCTAAACTGGTGTTAAACATCAGTGGTAATTCTTTCCTTCCAACATTTTCAAGTGGATTATATCCCCACCTTTTAAATTAGTCCTAGAATACAGAATTTCCTGTCCATATTTTGCTTTCATCCAATATAGCAAGTTCATTATAATATTTTACATGTGCCTCTTCGTTTAATAGGGGAGATCCAACCCCCTTAAGAATGATGTCATCCTCTGGACGTGTAGATACATATTCGCCCTCAGGCATGAGCCTTCATCAGATTTGTCAATTGCTTATCTTCGACATCTTAAATATTGTTTAAACAGTAGAAGTTTGGACATAAATGGATTAGTGCATGTATACAAACATTGCCCAGTATAATGCATCCCATTACACAGCTTACAATTTATGTCTTCTACGAACATATCTCATTATCTATATTGAGATTACTTGTTGCAAAAAATTTACTCTAGTGCCATCAATAGAGTTCTGCATATACTGTTGAATAGTATCTAAAAGAATATCATGCACAAGATATCAGGGTGGGTAGTCAAAATTTTCAAAATTAAAATAAAAAATAAATTCAAATCCTATATAAACTAATAAACTCAAACTAAATACTTCATTCCCTCGACAACGGCGCCAAAAACTTGTTCGTGCAAAATCCGGAAATGTACGGGATCGTTGACAAGTAATAGAACTGTGAGTTAAGAGTATCATCACATAAGGAATAAATTCAATTCAAATTTACTAATTTTTTATGTGATTTGAATTATGTAAACAAATAAGAGTTTGGTTTTATTTTATATTTAATTAATCTAAGAATGTTGTAAAAAAATATGTTTTTTTATCAGTGTATTGATGATTGTATTGGATCTCGAATCTGTCAATTGCTATCATTTTCAATTCTTAATTTGTAATCTAGTTCCGTTCATGTGTTCTTAACAATCGATAAAATTATGATATATAATTTTTTTAAGACAAATTAAATTTATCCTAAATGCGACCCGAATATATTCCTAGCCTAAATTCGAATGATTAGAATGCATTAAAGTTTAGATTATCTATATGATTGCATACGTGATAAATATTATTCCTAACATATATTGTACATATATTACTTTTGCCGCGTTTTAAACTTATTGTGAGTCTCTCAACACTACAATAAGCAACTAATTATCTAATTGGTGGCAATTAATTAAATAATGCAATGAGCATGCAAAATTAATCAAAAAATACAAGAAATAAACTGAACTACTAATCTTGAATTAAAACAAATAAATAATTGGGTTCATCTTCATCCAATACAAAAATAAATCTTGCCTAACTTGTTAATATATAAATTACAAAAAAAAAATAATAGAAAAATATCACCCAGATCATGAAATAAATCAAAAGAAGTTAATTTTCAAATCCAATGTTGAATTTTTCAAAATCTTGATATAATTGACTTTCAATTCCTTACTATAACTTGATCACCCCTCTCAAAATATAGCAATTAGCCTCTTGTTCTTGATAAATTTGATGATACTATTGTGCATGAAGAGGAAATAGAGGTTCTTTCAACGTGTATCCTTCGTTCTCTATTTATAAGAGCTGCGTCCAATTTGTTTTTTAAAAGAGTTTGAACTGCGAAAGGAAACTAAAGATTCATCTGCAGAAATGGCCCCGGTACGTGCACCGGTATAACTACCGTGCGTGCGCCATAGAATCAAATGACTCTCGGGTTGGGGAAAATAAGGTGTCGTGCGCGCGCAGGTGGCTTCTGTTCATCGTTGAGCATCTCTCAGTATTTTGGCAATAACTTTCTTTACAGAAATCCAATTAAGTTGATTCAAATTGCGTTGGAAATGTAATTCAAAGGGACAAAATCCTTCTAGAAATGTAATTTTTCCATGTTGAACGTTTGCTATCCAAAAAATGTGTCTCAAGTTGAGGCTAAAAATCCATAGCATAACTTCTTTAGTTAGAAATTGATTTGTGAAAATACTTATACTATATTTCACTCATTTGACCTCCAATTACATCCAGTTGATCCTATATGATCTTCATTATCATTTTATGCTCCAAATCAACTATTGAATGTTTACACTTTGGTCCCCAAATTTTGAATTTCCTTTGTTTTAGCGTTCATTTCTTCCAAATCCATCAATTTGCATTGAGTTCAACCTAACAAATATAATTAACACAAAATTAAGCTATAACTCATTGAAATAACTAGCAAATACTCTAATTTAATGGTCTATATAAATATACAAAATACACTTATCATTTCCCATAGTAGCATTTAAATCATCTGTTGGAGGGAAAACCTCAACATGACCGGAAAATCTCACTTTTGTATTACTATTTTTTGTTTTAGGACTATTCAAATCGTTTTTTTCGACTAATTTAGGCTTTTTCTTCTCTCCTTGATTCCCATTTTCTGCTTCATTAACAGCCGGACCACCTTTAACAGTCGACCCACCTATTTTATTACTAAATCGGCTGTTGGGCTGGAATGTGGGCAGCCAGTTGGCCAACATTTTTTGTATTTATGATTATTTTCTAATTAAATAATATTTGTATTCTTTAAATTTAAAAATTTTCTTTTATTCTAATTTTTATATAAAAAATGAAATAAATAATTTTAAATTGATAGTTACGAAAATAAAATATTATTTTTTCACGTGTTAATAAATTCTTATTTTTTCCCTTTAATATTTTAATTAATTTAAAATTCTTTAATTAAATATAATTTGTAAACTAATCTTTCAGTTTTCAAATATAATTAAATAAATATATATTGTTTACTTAATTTAAGAATTTCCTTTTGTTTTAATTTTTGGATAAAAAATGAAATAAATAATTTTAAATTGATAATTACGAAAATGAAATATTATTTTTTAACCTGTTAGCAAATTCTTATTTTTTTTCCTTTTAATATTTTAATTAATTTAAAATTCTTTAATTAAATATTCTTTGTAAACTAATCCTTAATTTTTTTCAAATGTAATTAAATAATATTCATATTATTTACACAATTGTAATATTTTCCTTTTGTTTTA